TTGTGTGTGTGTGCGTGCATGCATGCGTGCACGTGCGTGCCCGTGTGTGTGTGTGTATCTGTATATCTATATATCTATGTATATCTCTTTCTCTGTATGTCTGCATGCAGGCCGGAGTGGCTGTGTACGTACTGTGTGATGACGGAGAGCCAGGGGTGGTATTATGAGTCTGACAGGACTCTCTCGCAGGCTCTGAACAGTCGCGTCTCGGACTTCATGCTGGTGAGGCCCAATTATATTCGCCAATAAATCATGAGAACATGTCACTGCATTTGCGTCAGGGCACAAACACATGCTGTTCATTAGTGCATCAGTGGAGGAGTGCGTCTGTATTGTAAGGTACAGTGAGGAGCATTTGTTTTGCAGCAATGCCAGCACCTCCTGCTCCAGCTTTACAATTCTGACAAGGAGCGTGTCTTCTCTCTCAACCCCTGTCTCATGGTGAGTGTGACTGCGTGGCTGCCACTGTCTGAGTGAATGCGTAAAGCATAGTGGTGTACAAGCAAGTATGTAAATGCATGTGCCAGTGTATTACTCAGAGTGGTAGTCTGCTGGTGTTCCTATCTGTGTGTGTGTGTGTGTGTGTGTGTGTGTGTGTGTGTGTAGCACTGCATCAGTGAGTGTGTCTATGGGTGTCAGTGAGTGTGTCGCCGTACGTTTGTTTCTGTGCCAGGTGACGGGATACAGGAACTTTATTAAGAACCCCATGTGGTTGGACAAAGTAGCGGAAAACCTGCAGAACGAGCGCTACTCGACCGTGCGCGAGTTCGTTGCAGACATTCTTCTCATTTTTGACAACTGTGCCGCATTCAACAAGGTAAGATGGCACCTTCCTACAAAGAAAGGTTCAACATCTCAGAATGTGACTAAGACATTACCCTTACGCTGACAACGGACCTGCCAGAATTAGTCTGACTTATTAAGCATTTGAGGTTAAACTGTTTGTCCAGACCAAATAAAAAATTAATGCTCAGTTGCAGTTGGATTACACTCCTATGCGTTAGTGTGTTAACATACATATTTAGAGTAATCCATTTCTCGCTCTCTCTCGCTCTCTCTCTCTCTGTCCTTTTCTCCAGAACAATGAGTTTGGAGAAATGGGTGCCAGACTCAAGCAATTATTTGACAGGGAATTTCACAGGATCTTCAGGGTACAACAGTGACTCTCTCCAAGGTTACGTTTTACAGCATTCACAATGTCCAACTAAGTTGGTTTAACAATCCAGCTTGTTATTGCTATTTTCAGGTGTCACGTTTCTTATTTGAAAACTTCAAGTACACAGAACTGGAGTGTTGAATCAGTTTCAGGCAGAAGGCCTGGTAATGTCTCCCCTTATGCCACAGCACAAAAAGACAAATTGAAATATTTGCACAAAAATGACATGATAGTAACCAAGGTGACATTCCAAAGAAAAATTACAGAAATCAGAACAGAATTTGTTCAATGAAGGTCCATTCTGTGACACTGTATTTCACACGTATCACTGGTAAAGTTGTTCGGAGGGCCGCATGAACTGGTTTCCTGCAGACAACTTGGTTATTACTTACCCACCTTGTATATATTATAAAGTATTTCATTTGCATTTACAAGGATGCCTGGGCCGTGGTCTCACACTATGATCAAGATCTGTGTGTGTTTGTGTGTATGTGCATATACATATCATTACTTCTTTCAACTTACATAACTATTCATTGACACATTTCGATTATTCAAATAAAAGCCAAGTTCCAACAACATAAAAGTATTAGCAGACCAGTTTCAGTATGCAGTGATATGTAACTAAGGTTTGTGAAAGATGAGAAACTTCTCAGAAAGCGACGTAATGTACAGCGTAGAATGGGCCTAAGTGGGCTATATTCTTTAAGTGTATGCGGCAAGTCAGAACTTTGATTCTTTTATCCTATACTCACTCCTGGGAAAGTAAGAGGATGCCAATGCATTATGGTGTACCTCAAAGTGTATGCCACGAGGGTAAATACCTGCAAAACAAGTTCTTTCGTTTAAGTAAAAAAAAAACTATGATAAAAACATTTCATGGAAAGCATGTATGTATGTGGAGTGTGGTGTTCATCATTGTACTCATGAACTATATCTGGTATCATTCATACCTTTGTACTTTAATTGTACTCAAAATAAATAATAAACATTTACTTGAATGTCATTTCCTGCTTAAGAGTAAAGACGAAAATATTTCTGCCATATTGTTTCAAAGAATATTTTTTAAGTTATATTGAAAAATATTGATGTGCATTGGTGAACTGATTTGCTATATTAACTATAGTGCTCTTAATTTGATAGTAATAATTTTAAAGTGCATAAAATAGTAATGTAACTTCTATACAGGTTGTTTTTAATATAACAATATTCGTTTTTTAGTCTGTTATCTACAGATTTTGGTATGATGAAAATGTACTTTTGTGGACAGGGTAATCTACTTTTGTTGTCTTTAGTTGTGGTTGTACGGTGAATTTTTATGACAGGTTCTCAACGACATCAACTTCTCTCTAGTGTGTAACTTAAAGACTTCCCCAGGGAGCATGTATTTTGTGTTACGCATCGCTAATTTAAAGGTCATTGTACCCGCGGTGGTCTAAAAATATGCAAGCAGCACGTGCACATCGCACTGTAGCCAGCAGTCATGTAGTTGGGCAAGGCAACAATATCAGTCTTACAGCTCTTATAAATCATGTGAAATCCAAACAAGGTGGTTTGCTTGTGCATGAACAACTGGGGAGCTATTAGTTGAAATGAATGGGGTGAGTGTCACTTAACGGAATAAAGTATGTTCAGATTTGCAGGAGGATGGTTCACTCAAACACTGGAAGCGTGCGCGCTCGCAGAAGTAGCACGCGTCCTCTCTCCGCAGTGGAGATTCGGCGTCTGCGTTGCGCTCGTGCAGGCCCTGCGTATTACGTCACCACAGAGACCAGCAGCGAATCCCTACGCAGAATTGCGCAGCGGAGTTGCGCAGACATACTCAGCACAGAACGCAGCCATTACTAAGACCACCACAACAGAAAAATTAAAGAACGGTTTATTGATCAGAGCAGCAACGATACAACAGAAAGGCCGGAAACAATTGCCTTCACGTGAACAAAATTTCTTTCAAATTTTAATTATGATGGTGGAAAAAAAATAAGATCGAGTGCGCAGCCGGAAAAGTTGTAGTAAAAACTATACACGGGTTAGCCAGCTAGCAAGGTAAAGCAAGAGGTGCGTGGTAGAGCTAGTTAGCTAGACTAGGAAGCCTACATGCCCGCAGCAAATTATCAACAACGTCTGCGGTGAATACTAAGTCCTGCAACGAACGACTGCTATTTAATAAGATACGTGCATCTAGCTAGTAAGCTGCCTAGCCAGTAAAAGAATGAACAACATCCAGACAAGTGAATCGTCCCTGGCTGGGAGCGAAACATCGCAGCTGTGCAACAACCACGACGAATCGTCGCATCTGTGCATCAGCCAGGATGGTTCCGTTCTTGCAGACCCCGGCTCCGGCGTGTCTGAAGGCGAGGCGCAGGAGCATCTACTACAGTCTGTCCAGATGTCCAATGCCGCCGCTCCCATTCTCCTATGTGAGTCCCATTGCCATGGTTAGCCGGGCGGCGGAGGCGCGTTTGGACAAAGGTGTAATGTGTTGCAGTCTCGCGGGAGCCATCGTGCTGCTAGTTACTAGGGAAAACATTAGTTACTACTTGAAAGTTCAGTTTGCCAGCTACACGTGGTGTAGTGGTTGTAAAACGAGATCGCATGTTATGACTGTTGAGTGTATCACTTGCTCCTCTGGGCGGAGTATATGTTTCCCCTTATAGAATAGGGATGGAATTTGAGAATTCTGTCTTTAACCACACCGGGTGAATAGAGTATTATTTAACAGATAGCTATGTCTACACTTAACACTATTTATATAGATAGCACCAGATTTGAGGTGAATATGTCTGATGTCACGCAGTGGGTGATGTGTTGTGCTTTCTTTAATTTTATCAGATCCTGTTAGTGCTGACAGAGTTATTTCCACTACTTCTTCAGACGGTAAAACAATCTTCAAGATTGCCCCAGGTGAGCGCTGTTAAATCGGTTGATGCCTCAAACCAGTGTCAATTCACTCAGGTTATAATCCTGACATATTTTAACCTACTGTCCTCTATAGAAGAGAGTACTGCTCTCACACACGTGCACAAACTGATCTGAAATGCAGTATAATAATAATAATAATAATATATACACATAAACTAATATAATCATATAACTGTTTATACTTTGTATATAATTACAGGTTATTATATATAATTATATAAATATATAGTTACATTACTTAACAAGTATATATTTTCATATTTACAAGTGTACATATACATACAAGTCTGCATATTTTTAAGTGTAACCATTTGGACAGGATATAAAGAAAATTACGATGAATAATCCTGTGTTCTATCTTAGCTGGAAAAAGATCATTAAAGGTGAAAAGGTCCTTACTGTTTATCAGTGCTGGTAGAAGCAGTGGCAGAACAGCGACAGCCACTGTCGCTGTGAGCTGGGGCCGCGTCGAGCGTTTGTCTCCGTCTGTCTCCGTCCAGCGCCCCTGCCGAACGTGAAGCTGCCCCCGGCGGCGCCGCCGGAGAAGGTCTCCACCTCGGAGTTCAGCTACCAGACCATCGTGTACCTGATCGAGGCGGTGGGGCGGCGCTGGAACGTGTACGGCTCGCGGGAACGCGCCCAGCTCTTCCACAGCGTGCAGAAGGAGCTGGAGAGCCAGGGCCACGTGCTGCCCGTCGAGAGGATCCGCCGCAAGTGGAACAACCTCATCGTCACCTACAAGAGGGTGAAGGACCGCAGCCGCGAGACCGGCCAGGCCAAGACCTCCTGGGAGTACTTCGAGGTACGCGTGAGGTTTTTCGGCAGTACGTGTGTGTGCGTGCGATAACGCGGGCCTAACGCCACAAGGTGTGGCAAGATATGCATGTCAATTAAAGCAATACGTCAAGCCATACAACAAGAGGGTAGTGTGGATGAGTGGTCTAAGGCGTGGAATTAAGACTCATTAAAACGATTAGATTAAAACTCTCTTTGGAGGTGAGGGTTCGAATCCCTCCGCTGCCAGTTTTACATTGGGTGGCAGTGTAGCATGGTGGTAAGGAGCAGGGCTCATAACCAGAAGGTTCCAGGTTTGATTCCCCGCTGTAGCGCTGCTGCTGTATCCTTGGGCAATTTCCCCAGTAAATATCCAGCTGTATAAATGGATAAAACTGTAACTGATGTAAGTTGCTCTGGGTAAGAGCGTCTGCTAAATGAAAATGTTGTAATGTAACATGGGTAAAGTTTTCTATAAGACTGTGATAAACAGACAATAATGTGACAGCACGCTATAAAATAACTAGCCCCTCACTCTCCCTCCCTCCTGTGTCTCTTTCTGGCTCTGGTCTGCTTTCCCTCCGCTGCTCGCGAAGATGATGGAGGCCATGCTGGGAGGCACCATCGGCAGCCAGAGCACGGCCAACGCCTCGGCCACCATGGTGGACGTGCCCAACGTGGCCAAAGGGACGGTGTCAGCGGAGCAGCCCCCGCCCAGGGGCGTCGGGGGCGTGGGGGCCAAGCGCGGCCTGCTCTCCGGCGGCCTCATCACCAGCTGCGCCCAGATCCCCACCCTCATCCCCTCCTCCCTGCCGCCCCCCATCACCCTCAACACCGCCTCCAAGACCCCCAGCAACACGGACGCCCGGCACCCGGCCCCGTCCACCTCGCCCCCGCGCAAGTCGCCGGCCAGGCTGGGCCGGCTGCGGGTGCGGCAGAAGCTGCGGCGGGCGCCGGCCGACGTGGCGGCCGCCTCCTTCCTGGCGCAGCAGCACAGCCAGGCGGAGGAGCGCACGTCCCTGCTGCGCAGCTTCCTCAGCGGGCAGGAGGAGCGCGGCCGGCTGGAGGAGGAGCGGCTGGGCCGGGCCGAGGCCCGCGAGCGCCGGCGCGAGAAGAGGGAGGGCCGCATGGCGGACGCTCTGGGCCGCATGGCCACCGCCCTGGAGCTCATCTCCTCCAAGCAGGACACCATCATCACGCTGCTGCAGAGGCTGGCGGACAGACAGTGAGGCGGGGCCTGGGGGGGCGGGGCCTGGGGGGCGGGGCCTGGGGCGGGTGGGGGAGCGAAAGGGAGTGAGCGAGGAACAGTCTCCCGCCAAGGGGTCAGGAAAGAGCGATAATTTGAGTGGGGGGGACGGGGAGATCCTCTTCGTTTCAGATGCTGCATTTTTACATGGCACAGTTTTGTTCCGTTACACGACTGGTTGAGCTGTTAACTCAGCTGTAAAGTTGCGATGACGCGGAGGTAAATGAGAGAAGCCGAGCTAGACGCATGGCTGGGCTTTAAGCAAGGGCTCCCACTGGCACTTAGGGTGGCAGGAGAAAGCTGTCGCTATACCTAACGATTCAGTCCCAAGGCTAGCTTATTTTTTCATGAGTAGAGGTGGGGGAGTGCCAAGTAGAACTGTAGCAGCTCGTTTATCCCATTTCATTCAGTGGTCACATACGGCTTCTCCTCTCATGCTACAGCCTTTGGGGAGGGAAGGGTTGGTAAATGAAACAGAAATAACACAGTGTATTAGCGTGAGTTTTCATAAGTGGAATGTTCGTTGGCATCAACTGCCACAGATGTCAGCTTTTCCTTTACAGATACAGCCACGGTCTGTCAAATATCAACCTGTTTTTTTTTTTTTTTTTTTTTACTTGTATTGTTTATATATAAAGTGATTGTGATTACAGAGTCACATAGGTTCTCAGTGCAAAGTCTGTTTTCTATGTTTGTAATGTGATAGTTGCCATTGTGTTCCTCGAATTAAAAACTGACAGTTCGTTACAGTTATTTTCTGGGTGGATGCTTCTAAGGGTTTTGTTTTTACCCCTCCTGTTCTCCCTCTCACACACCTCTAAGCGTTCACAGTGGTCAGTGTAAAGCGGTGCTTGGTGGGGATCTTGTTTTTTGTCTTGTAGTGTTAGCAAATTTAGTGGTTCTATTGTTGCTGTAGGTCAAAGGGGAAGCTCAGCAAAAGGAAGCTGTAGGGCGGTTTATTAATTCAGCACAGTACTGTTAACAATAAACTGTTGTCAAAATCGAATAAGTTACCAAATATAAATGGTGCTGAACTTAGCATTCACTGGCAAGTTGCTACGTGTATGGTGGAGTGTGCATGTTTGCTTCAGGATATACAGAAATACAGAGACATTTCAAAGTTAATGCAGGTATAAAATGTTTGATATATGTAGTAATAGAAAATGTGGTGAGCATGATGTTGAAAATCATATATTGCTATGACGGTCCCCAAGTGGCTATGTAACTCAGATTTCAGTCTTGAGCCATATGATTTTATGTTTCCTACCACCCTTGCACTGGTGCACGGTGTGTTCATACCATTTTTTACACTGCCTGTCTCATAGAGTGATCACTGCTTGTGTATATGCTGCACATCTCAGATTTTTTTGTATTTAAATATATTTTAGGAGGGTTTCATAAAGTCAAGTGTTAGAGTGATATATATGTGATATATCTGGAAATGTGGCAGCTACTTTGTTAAAGCATTGTCAACACTTTCCAGAGTTGCCCTCTATTTCAAGTTTTATACAAAACAATATAACTATGTTCATTAAATTACTTAAACAAAGAATTATTTAATTGTTATTAAACATTATTAAATTAACACCCCACTGACTGTAGCGACCTGTCCCCCAAACATACCCCCCCCCCCCAAATTGGACAATGGACTGGGAGTCCTTTGACATTTTTACATGGCAACAAAACTGAAGAGCATTGCTCCCACGGGGAGCTGCACAGTGTTCCCAACAGTTTCTGATGAACTGCTGATTCATGAGCAAAAATTTCAAAAATATTGTCCTTGCTAACGCCTCTCAGATGGTGTGATTTAACACAGCCGGTGGGTGAGAGCGGAGCTGAAAGGAGTCTCGCAGCAGCCCAGAACTGAACGGAAATTTAACCCCACCCCCTAAATGAGGATTGACAGGGCTGATCTTGGCAAAGGATGTCTTGTCACTAGCTAATTTGCAACTGTCTGGGGCAGCAAGGGGTCGACCCAGAAATAGTTATGGGGATTGTAATGTTTTGATTTAATTTAGCACCTGGAGACGAGGCGTGGCAGGGCTGGACATTCATATCCCAGATGACAGAAAGACAAGCAGTCAACATGTATTTATTTTTTTAACAGATTTTTTTAATCTCACATTCATGGGATTTACAGTAAATTGCTAAAAAACTGCAATGCAAGGAAAAAATTGCAATTCAAAATTGAAATGCATAACTGTACAACCATTTTCATGAAAATAGGATATTGCAGTCCTGTCACATTCCAGCAAATGCAAAAAAATACAGTGGGTTGCAGCATGTATTGATATGTACCTACTAGTAATAATAGTGCAATTCAAAAAATCAACCGAACATTTTATGTATTTTATATGACAAACTTTTTTTTGGTCAGGGCTTTGCCATCATTTCATCTTCAGCATTTAACAGACATATTTCAGTGGGCAGAGTCCTGATAAATGATACTTTTTTAGTAGAGACTTACAATTGTAACATTACATTTTAATTGAGCTTTGTATTTATTTGGTTAGCACACACCCTTATATTGTGCAACTTACATTTTTACAACCTTTTTTTCAGATCCATTTATACAAATAAATGTTTACCAGAGGAATTCAGGAACCGTACCTAAGGGCACAGTGGCAGTGACCCTCTCCAGAAATCAAACCTGCTACCTCCTGTTAAGAAGTCCAGTCCCTTTTGACAGCATGCAGTCCACCTTAATTGACATCCATCAAGCATTTTTCAAATGATGGTGACAAAGTGCAAAATTTGGCACAAAAACCCAAACTCCCCATCTCTATCACATACAACACCAAACTTCTTCAGTCTGATTTCCAAGTGTTGTTACTGAACTGATTCTTTGGAACATGGCATTGGTCATACATCATTATTAGCAGTGGTGTTTCTTTTATCTCCCTGAAACCTTGGCTGTTTTATGGCCAGTCATTTTAGCATTTAATCATTCTCTCCCTATATCAGCAACAGGCTTGTGGAACGCACCGCACGAACGACTGGTTGCCAAGTCCTTTCCCGTTGATCACATGAGAACTCAGTTTGAGAGCAGGACTCATGCTGCATAAAGCAACACTAACCCTCTTTGACATCAACGGTTGTATTCCAGGATATCAACAAGTTGGTCATGGGTCGACACAACATTATCACGTTGCCAAATGCTTCTCATGTCATTTACAAACTAGCTGGATATCGAACTGGCAGTTTACACAGCTTGGCCTGGAAGAGCTGAGACACATGCAAATGAGGTTGCAAGAGGGGACAAATGTATCTGAGCCTGCTCATGGAAGTAGATGTAAATGAGCTTGATAATCTAAATCAATAGAGAAATCCACTTCATTTACATGCATGGTATTGCCGCTTACTGTATGCAATCACAGGGTAAGAATATGTTACGCTCTGTCTTGAAAGTCATTGGTGTCGAGCTCTGTGGATTGTACACAACCAATGTTCAATATCAAAAACCTCACGTTTGACGTTAATAATGTGTTTGCTTGGTCCCCTCATTGCTTGTCTTGATATCAACCTTTTTGTGTTGGTTTGCAACTGATGTGGTTGATGACAGCATAACACATTTTTATTGTTTGTATTGTTTGCATTTGTAATGTCCTTATTTATTGTAGTATATCCCTTCTGGATATCAACCAGTTAAACTTCATTTGCAGGGATTTTTCAATTCTGTGGGACAAGTGAGGTCAGATGAGTTTTGCTTTAATGTTTCACAGAAAATTAACCGTTATCAAAACTTAACCATCTGACATACAATGGTGAGAAATTTTCAACTGAGTTTGGGTTTTGTGTTAATTTTGTCACAAGCTTTTGAAAAATCTATCAAAGGAATTGGAAAAAAACAACAATGAGTCCTGAACTACAGACCCTGAACAGGAAGGTACAGATAGTGCTTTAACCTCTAAATGAAGCTAAAGTGAACTACTACAAAAAACCAAACCATAGACACAGTTAAACGGACATCTACTTGTAAGTCTGACCTAATTGGTTCCCTACA